AGTGATAATCAGCAATAAGGTATGCAGCACTTTTTTTAGAATGAGTTCGCTAACTTAATTGTCAGACCTCGTAGGGACTTGGGCCCAGGGTAGAAGGAATGCTGAATGGCCAGGAAGAATGTCGGATAAGCTGACCACGCCAGTGCAACTCTTACATGAAAATACAGAAGTAGCTGATTATTATCTCCCTTTTAACCACTTACTGCCTTGCAGAGGTCAAAACCACTGTTCCACATGTGCAGTTGGTCAAGGTCAAGTTATATGACCTTCCTGGGGTGGTGATAATGAGCAGTCTGCCATATTGCCCCCACATCACAGGCACAAACATTATTACCAGGCAATGTAGCTCGTAAAGAAAACCCACCTTTACCCAGGAGCCTGCTTTGCCCCCAGCATATAAAAGCAACTAAGCGGAGCCAGCCTCCCAAGTCAGTTCCCGGGACCTTCCTCTCTTCTGTGCTGCCTCCCTTGTCCTCAAGCACATGCTTAATAAAATCTGTCTGGAAATTTTTCTGGGGTTTCCTCTCGATTTCTATCTTGGAAAACCTAAGAACCCGATCTCCGGTAACACTTGGAACTGTATGTAAGTGCCTAGGTATGACTGTTGTTAAGAGAAAAGTGAAGTGCATGATAGGAGATAGAATATGGAGGAGATTATGTGCTGTGCTAAAGAAAATTGATATACCTTGTAGGATAAGCACCTAGTTTACATAGCAGATCCCTGTTGGGAGCTGGCTGGGATCAGCCAGGGACACTGAGGCTTTAGGTTGGCAAGTTTGGGTCTCCAGGTAGATACAGGCCTGGGGTGAGCGGCCTTGGAGCAGTTTGGTGGGGACCTGTGGGACAGTGCTTCTGTCTTAAACTGCTTCCAGACAACGCAAGTGCAAAAAGTAAAGACCCCAGCTTGCTGATAGGAAACGCTTATGGACTAAGGGACTCAGTTGCTCATAGACTATGGACTTGCCGTTTCAACATACATCACCGCTCTGGGACTTTCCACCATGGACCTGCTTCATATACTTGGGACTTACTACTGTGGGCTTGTAGACAGTTTTTATTTGCCTCAGTTTAACCTTGCCTAGCTATATCATTGGTTTTTATTGAGTATAACATAGCTTGTTGCTGAGGAGAAATTGTTTCTCCTCAGCCCATGAGTTTTAGCTTAAGGGAATCGCTCCCGAAAATGAGGAAATTGCTTCCCCTTAAGAATCTTGTATGCCCAATAAACGAAGTCTCAGTTTGCCACCAGCAGACTGAGTCTCTCCTGTCCCTCCCTGCACTTTGTCTCTCTTCTCTTTTATTTCTCGTCTCCCACCCAATCCTCTCAGGGACTCTTTTGGTGAGCTCCTGGCTGACGAGCCAGGGGCGTTCGGTTGAGCGAGCTGATCTCGTTCGGATCCCCAAATTTGAACGGCATAATCATGCTGGTGATTATGAGGATCACAAATGTTGCAGATAGAGTTTATCCATTAAAGTTTTTGGTTGCAAGCAACCCAAACCAGTTTGAGCTAATGTAAGGGGGAATTTTTAAATGGTGGTGGGGATTTATTGGAAGATTCTAGAAGAGATTATAATATGAAAAAATATAGCCGAAGGATTGGTCTTTGGAAATAGTTGAAATCAATAAGGATAGGTGTGCTGGAGATCAGGGCCTAATGGGCATGAATCTACTTTATTATTATTTTTTTTAATCCTTGCATTGCTACTTGAGATTCAGACCCTGAGGACAGTATAGGAGAAAAAAAAGAATCTTTTTCTTCTATCCTTCTAGATTCTTAGCTAGGGTCTCTGTAACAAAAGGCAGATTAACAAGAGAAAAAGAAACCGAAGTTATTAGCATGAATACCTCATACAAGGGAGAAACTCAGGAATGAGTAGCTCAAAGAGATGGCTAGAACTTGGACTTACATACCATCTTCACCTAAAACAAAGGAAGAGGAGTGTGGGGAAGGCAGTTATTGAAAAGTGGAAAAGCATAGTAAACTAAGGTAAGGCTTGTTATGCAGATGTAACACTTGACCTTCTCCGTTAAGAGTTTCTTGTGACTTAGAGTCATCTTTTTCTTCCTGGTACAGAGAGAAACACCCTTACAAATAGAGATTTCCTTTGTAACTGTAAATTTACCCTGCAAAAGTGTCGACGTAAGAAACATGCAAACATGTAGAGAGTTTTTATGAGTTTATTTGAGCCAAACTGATGACATATGCCAGAGAGAAAGATCTCAAATGCTCTGGAGAATAACAGTTTTGCAGCTTCTATTATGCATCTGAAATTAAGGAGGGAAAGTAAGGAAGATTACACAGAAATGGGAGAAAACAAGGGTTGGAGTACAAGATCGTTAACAAGATTATGTGCTCTCTTGAGGGTGGTTACAGTTTATTTCAAAGGTGTGTTAACCTAGATGTACTGGAAAGAACATACAGGGCTTACTTAAGGCAAAGGTAAACATTTTACTAAAGAGGTTATATGCCTGGAGCGTTATTACCCACCATGACCTGCCCAGTTAGGAATTTATGATCAGATTATCCTGTGAAGTTACTTTACATTCCATAGAACGCCCCCCCCCTTTTTTTTAGTCCACGAAAGGGTAATTTATACTCTTAAAAAGCTTCTCCTTTGTCTGCTGTTTCTCAAAATAATCCTTAAGTCAAAGAGGCATATTTTATTTTATTTTATTTTAAATAATGTCTTTTCTTTATTTTATTTTTATTTTTTATTGGGGAACAGCCACAGTCATTGGTTACACATTGCTTTCATGTTACAATGGCATAGTTGACTCTTTTAAAGAGGGCGCAGCTCACAGCGGCCCATGTGGGGATCGAACAGGCAACCTTGGTGTTATCAGCACCACGCTCTAACCAGCTGAGCTAACCGGTCACCCCTTCAAAGAGGCATACTTTAAAGTGACATATTCTGGTCTTCTACAAGAGAAAATCCAATTGGCTTAGCTTAGCTCTCATGGCCATCACTTGGCTCAGTAGAGGAGACTGGGAAAACCTTGATGGACAGCCTCACCAATATTGCACACGGAAAGTGAAAGGATAGTTCCCTCAGGTAAGTGAATATGCCGCTATTCAAATGGGGGGAAGTGGATATGAGAAAGCACAAGCAACAATGAAAAGTTATTTATACTAAACGCATTTAAATCCATTTTTCTCCTATACTGTTTTGAACCACCATCTTTTAATCCTTTAATAAAAGCAACTTTTAAAGAGTTTCTTTGGTGGGTTTTTTTTTTTAAACGATTTTATTGGGGAATTGGGGAAAGAGAACAGTGTTGGGGAATTGGGGGAGAGGAACAGCCAAGTTATTGTCCTTTAGTCTTAGTTGTAGAGGGCGCAGCTAGCTCAGCTCCTAAGTCCAGTTTCCATCTGGCCATCCATTGGCAGCACATAGCCACTCAGCTCAAGGTGCCGTGTTCAATCTTAGTTGTGGGTAGGCATAGCCTACCATCCCATGTAGAAGTCGAACCGGCAACCTTGTTGTTAAGAGCATGTGCTCTCACCAGCTGAGCCATCCTGCTGCCTGTTGGCAGCTCAGCTCAGGCACAGCTCACTGGCTCATGTGGGAATCGAGTCGGCAACGTTGTTATTCAGAGCTCATGCTCTTAAACAACTGAGCCACTTGGCCGGCCCCTAAAGAGCATTTTTTTTTTAGTGAGGTATTTGTGAAAATTTACTGCAGGAGACCAGAATAAACCACCCTAAAATATGACTGTAGGAGACCAGAACATGTCACCCCAAAATATGCCACTACATTTTGAAGCAGCATTTATCAAGTGAGAAAAACAATCGATATTCTCCATATGTAAATTAATCATTGGTGAAGAGCTAATGGTTTAACACTAATTTCTTAAGAGTTTGGTTTGTATAGGTCATCGCCTCCCAGGTATCTGCTCATCCCCAGGTGCACTGAAAAATTACAAAGTTGAGGAGCTGCCCTTGGAACATGGGGACCAAGCTACATTCATTGGCTACTCATTGAGGCCTGAGTTCTAGGAAGGTATGCAGTCACCTAACTGAACACGTTGATATGGTGGCCTTTTCTCTAATTGTTTCAAGGCTGGAGTCATTCAACAATGCAGAGGCTGAGGAACACAGGGTTCTGTACTTTAATGTTTGGTATTTCTCCTCCCTATACCTGCCCTAGGCAAAATTAAATATTTCTCTTACTCTGTATCTCTTTCTCCCACTTAGCAAACAGAATTCTAACTGCCTCCACTTAACCTGTATCTTCAACATAGCCTCCTCCATTACTTCCTCTTTTTTCCAACAGAATTTAAGTCTTAAGTCCCATTCTTCAAAAGAGGTACATTTTAAAGTCCTCCTACCCTACCCTATTTCTCTGCCAAGTGAGAGTGATTATTATCAGATAAACTCAATTGTGCTAATATCCTCTATGTAATGTATTATTCCTCAGGAAACATAATGCCTTAACCCATCTAAAATGCATTAGTCTTCTTAGAAACATTCTTAACAAATGAGTCCAGGAGGGACGTCTGTCATTTTGTGGCTAATGGAGAAGGTCCTTTATAATCCTGGGAACTCATAGCTTTCATACAAATGACAGTTTACTGTATTTTCATATTAGAAATCTCTATCTTCTGGAGCCAGGGAGAGGAGATGATTAATGGGTACTCATAAGGTTAGTTTTATCAAAATCAAAATTAAAGTACCAAGCCAAAGGATGGGAAAAGAAGAAAAATGTTGACCGAGCACCTACTATGAGCCAGGACCATGTTTTATACCCAATCAACTCTGCCCACGCCCCCCAATCTGGGTGGAACTCAGCATGTCAACACAATCAATGCCTAGGTCACAGCTATTTCCCAGCTTAGCACGTAAACATTTACACTCTCATCATACACATAAGCATATTACACACATATAACACACACCTTAAACCTACACATGGCACAAATGACATCCAAGCATAATCTATATCATTCATACCTCTAACACTTATACCAATCACGCAGCACATACTCTACACATATAACATTATAAATGTCACACACATTGGAATGATATAATTTATTTAGGGAAGGGGAAATCATTCAGCTTTGGTAGGCATAAGGAGTCAATATCAGGACAATTCCTGAGTTAGTCAAAAAGAGATGCCGTATGAGCTGACTCTTAAAAAAGAAAAAAGAGTAAATCAGGTAAATAAAAGAAGGGTATTCCAAGCAGAGAACCAACATAGGCAAGGTTATGATATCAATAAACACTGTGATACATAACTCTAGTTGGGAAACATTGATACATAAATGCAAAGTGGGGAGTAGCAATGGCTACTGATGTAGGCAGGGACCACCACTTGGGAAACACTAAACACTCTGCTAAAACCTGGTGGTGTGGGTGGACTTTCTAGTTGCTGATAACCTCTAACAACTGGATGTCCTCTATGCTATCAACAAACCCATTCACGCCACAATGGAATTCAATGTAGCTGTAGCTCCTGTGCTCTGTGTAGCTCTTTTTCTTATTCCCCAGGTAGCACTTGAGTATTTTGAAGGGATACGGGGCCCACATATACGCATTTCTGTAGCGATCTCTCCAGTTCCTGAGGCAGACATTCTCGATATTTTGCCATAAGGTATAGATGAAGATGTGATAGTTCTTGTCCTTCGGAGCTTCTCTTTCCTTCATGAGATCATTGCATCTGTACTCACTGAATTCCAAGCTTGTGCTCAGGTGGTGCTGCTTCATGAAGTCCCTCCAGGAAAGGTTCTGGCTTTGTAAAAGGAGCCCACAGAGGGGGAGCAGCAGGACCAAGAGAGGGCCTAGGACCTTTAAATAGGATGACATCTCAGTCACCAGGGCCACCTGTGGGTCCACAGGGAAGAGAGAGGAAAGCATTACTGCAACACTGTCCTGGGAGCTGAGCTCCATCTTAAAATTCCTTTTTCCTGCCAATGTGGACACTTGGGCCCAATTTTACCGTGTGGTTCCCAGGTTAGAAGATAAGTCTCATTAAATAGTAAAGTTTATAAGAACTGAATACATGCTTGAGCCCAAGTGAGACAAGCACAAAATTGTAAAAAACAGATGAAGTTTATTATGAGAATTCCAAACACTTCCTGTCTGCCTTCTCTTCTACCCAAACCGAGGAGCCAATCTCCTTCCAGCTAGCTCTGTTTTATGGTTCCTGTCAGTTCTCAGGAAAGCATGTGTCTGTGTATCTGAAAGAGAATGGCATTTTAATGGTATCCGTGAAGTAGAAAGTGTTGTCACCTTTTAAGGGCATGCAGAAGATGTGTAAAGACTTGGGAGATATTTCCTAAGCAGAAAGACTTTGGGGCCCTGAAATTCCAGGCTGCAATTAAACTGACTCTGTCAATGGTATTTATCTAATCTTGATTTCCTTAAACACTTTCCCAAAACCGGTGTGAAACATGTCTCTTCTGACTACCCACTTCCTTCTCAGAAACCATTTCCCTAATTACCATGATGATAAACGATATTGATTTGTCATTACAAATACCGTTATAAAGTGTTACTGGGAATGATGTTGTGTTGTAATTCGGCTCTTCGTCTTCTTGAAGAAAAGAATTCAGTCAAGAGACAGTATTTTTTGTGCAGCATAGGAGAGCAAGAAGTTAATTAATTAAAGAGTGTATACTCTGAGACATGGTGTGGGGTGACCCAAGAGAAGGAAGCATGCAGCCTTGCCTTACACTGTATAAGGTAATGTACCTTTATTTCTAAGGGTAGATTTGCCTCCTCCTCTCCCTTCTCTTACTGTTCCTGAGGTGCCTAGTCCTCCCTTCTCTGGCATTTAGCAATGCGTTTCTTTGATTCAGGAGTATGTGTAAGCCTGGAATTCTCCTGGGCAGCTACAAGGGGTCTTGACCCAAGTAGGAGCAGCAGCAAGGGGCTTTCTAACTTGGCCAAGTCTCTCCTTCTCCTGCTCATTTCTATCTATCTACCTACCCTATCAAAAGGAACTCCAGTTTTGAAATATTGTTCTAATCAATCAAGTACCAAGATTGAAACTGCCCTCACAGGAGCTACAGTGGTCAAAATCAGGGCCTTGAAAAGGTCTTTTCTTTAAACCAGCTCTCTGTCTTCAGTTACACTGAGGAGTATACCTGGCCCTACAGAACCTCTAAGCTTGTAACAGAATGAAACACTCTTTCCCGACCTTTGACTTCAGGCTAATAGCTCCTGCTGTAGGTGTGTTAGTTAACTAGAGGAATTCTGCTTGAGGCTTCAGTATTTTCCTTGAGTATTTTGTGGAACAGCCTCTCGTCAGAAGGGGCCTCTCCCAAGGAGGTGGGAAGTATGTACAGAACAAGGATCGTTTTATCAAAGATTTACAGGAGCTCAGGGCTGGACTTAGATCAGTAGGGCTCAACAGACCAACTGGGAACAAAGAGATTTGGAGATTTCATGTTCTTCATTGGCACCGGGTTATCTAGAGCCTTCATCTACCTCTGGCCCCACCCCTCCACCCTTCCCTGGACATCAGGAATGAACTTGGGGTGTTTAAGATGGATTTGAAGAACCACTGAGAGCTCCCATCTTCTCTGACAGTGGCTTCTCGAATAATAAACCTTTCCTTATCCAAGCAGATCTATTGAATGTTGGCATTTTGAAGGGTCAGGCACGCGAACCTTGAACAGGTAACAACTTGATTCTCAACTCTTTCAGCATTGGTGTCCTCAAATGGGCTCCTCCAGACTCATAGGAGTCTAATGAGATTAGTGTGGGAACACGTCTGAGGGTATTAAGTGCTTCATCAGGCACAAGACACTTTATCAAATGGCCTAAACAAGATATCCCTAGCTCAAATGGCCTAAACAGGATAAAAAGACAGGATTCAAGCTGCTTCAATGTATTATGCTCTGAAAAATTAGGGAAGGAGGGGCAGGGGTACTGGTGATGCTAGTGGTGGCCGTATATCAGTGAGATTAATGCTGAGTTGAATTCAGGTCTTTGCTTCTTACAAGTTGGATCAATTTCCATTCTTAAGCCTTTTGCTGTGATGGTCGGATATATCCGAATGACTATTTCCATCCACTGACTGCAGATGGAAACTTCCAGAAAGGAAGTTTAGAAAAGCAGATGTACATTTTTCTATGTTTTGTGTTTTTCAAGAATGAATAACAATAGGAAATTTTATACATAAAAATAATGTCATATACAAAGAAGCTCAAATTGTTATTATTAAATGCATAAAATAGTCAAAATATCAACTTTTTGGTTTGTGTGGATTTCTGACACATTATGGAAACAAAACTTGAAATAGTTAATGCAGCGAAAGAGTTAACTCTATAATCTAGAAGTTCAATCATGCCCCTTCTAGCGTTCCTGGGCCTTTCTCTGCAAGTACCTTCAGCACAAACCCTTCTGATTCGAACTGACCTTATTCAGATCTAGTACTCACGTCACTGGTTGTAGTGGGGATCGGTTTGTGGATCTAAAGAGTAGAGAGTCTGTGTTCTTCCCTTTTTCGCAGAGCTAAGAAGTGTGCAGCAGTGAAGAAAGGAATAAATGTGGGAGGTACAGCACTCCCACATGGTGGTGAGGGAGGGGACAGGCTTACTATGTGAACCTGTTTTTATACCTTCTCATCTAGAATACTTGGTTTCACAGAATAGCCTGGAGCAGAGGTGTCAGATTTCAAAGACTGACTTCTGGGTGCAAAGGAATAGTAAGGCCCTGGGGACAGGTGTTAAGGAATAAAATCCAACCAAGTAAACTTGCAGATCTAACTGGCTTTATTAAGCAATTCATGAATTGGGAAATATGCCATATAGGAACTGGAAGGGTGCTGCAATGTGTTGTACAAAATGGAAGGTTTTTATAGGCAGAAAAAGGGTGGAACTAAGTTCAAAGAGTGGATAATTTCAAGCAAAGACACCTTCTCATAGGGGAAGGAAAGGGGTCTTATCAGGTAGATTACCTCATTAGTGTTGATCAGGAAATTCCAGACTGGTTGAATATTCCACTTCTAGGAGAGGCTAAAACTGAAATCCCATTAATTATTAAGTTTTAGCTTGGTGATGTGACTTAGCAAAAGTGACTTTGAATTTTACTTATGATTTTTTGAACTCAGGATTTTTTGACTTTATGATGGTGCGAAAGCAATGTGCATTCAGTAGAAACTGGTGGAGCTAAGCTATGATGTTTAGTAGTGTTAAAAAAGAAACAGCAGTCTAAAATGGAGTCATTTTTGGTGACCATGTGAGGTGATAACTATGTTAATTAGCTTGATTGTAGTGATTATTTTAATATCTATGCTAAATCAGGTGGTATATTTTAAATATAAGCAATATATATACATGCTGTAATTCAAACATTTTCAGTTTAGTCCTTACACACACACACACATGCACTCACAAACATACTTTCCTTCTTTAGCTGCTAGCATCTCTGTTCCCAATTTATTTCTAAATATTCAAAGGGAGAAGGGAGGGGTGTGAGAATTGTCTTTGAGAGGAATCATTCCCTTTGGAGTAAGTGAGACAAAGGTTTCTGTGTCACAGTCATCCATCTGATAGGCTTTATAGTCTTGGACCAGAGTTTATGAGGATATTAAGGTGCATGTGTTACCTAGTCAGGAAGAATAGGGCCGCGAGGGAGAGTGAAGGAAAGGAAGGGGGAGGCGAGGTCAGCAGCTAAGGAGAAAGCGCTACTACAATCTGGCCAGAACTGGATTTCAGTGGCTGAGAGAGGATCCAGGACGCCATTTTACCACTTTACATCTTACCACTTTAGCAGAATATAATGGATTAAAATGCTATTAGCATGGCAGCCAAGAAATGTCTGCACCCCCTGTGTCACCATGACACTTCCAAGAGAGCCAATAAGGACAACAACGCCTCCCTCCCTGTTAGGAAGAAGTTAGAAAATGTAGGAGAAGGAGGAGGGGGAGGAGGGGGTCCATGGTGCTTACAGAAAAAGCTCAGAACTAGCTTTGATTAACTGCCTCCAGACACTATCTATTTTTATAACAACAGATGACACAAGAGGTGGTCTGGAGCTAGATAAGGATCTGAGTCAACAGACCTCCACCCATCTTAGGAGGTCACGCCCTCCCGTGGAAGAACATGCACCACCTTTTCCCGCCAAATCAATATGTAACTCTCTCACCCCACCCAGCAAACTATAAGTCCTCAGGACAAGGGGACTGGGGGCCTATGTCTCTCTCTCCCACCTCGGCTAGGCCCGTTCTCGTCTCTGAGAATCTATCACTAATAAACCCTGCCTGCATAGTAATCAGCTTGCTACTTTGATTCTTCACATCGTGGGCAAGAAGAACCCGAGACTCCTGTAACATCCTGCTGGGAAGGAATGGTCTGCAAGGACCCGTCTAGGAATGCCTAGAACGCCACCCTTAAATCCTGAATATTTCAGCCTTTCATTTTTAGTGTAATAAACTGCCAAACCCCCACTTCTCTTCAGGGCAGCTCCTTTTTTCCAAGGCTGCCCACTCTTGCCATCTTGAGGGCATAATATCCCTTTCTAATAAATCTACTACTTGCTTGGCTTACTCAATGTGTCCTTCAATTCTTTCCTGCGACTAACACCAAAAACCCATTTCCTGGCAACATATGCATGTTTATAAACTAGAGATAGATAGATTATAAGAAGATAGAAAGAAAAAGTAATCCCTCATGCAAGAACCATAGCGTAGTCGTCAAAAATACCTGAAGTTTGAGTTCTTTATTATAAGAAATACAGGAAAAGTCTTTCAGTCGGGAAGACCGAGTGAGTCTTAATGATCTAGTCTAGTACATTGTTAATACTCTGACTTACTATAGTGATTCAAACGTTTGGGAAGAGAAAAAGAAAATTCCTTGTATCGTTTCTTGATCTTATTAGACCCAAGCATAACAAGGTTGCCAAATTATACAGATAGAGCTTCCATTTTACCAGTACATATTTCCAAACTTTTAATGCTTCCCCCAACAGCTGACTTTTGGGAATCACAGAAAGCAGATACTTTCGAAACACTCCTTGTGATGAAGTGGGGAAAACCCTGGATTAGTAGCAGCCAGTTGAAGTGGATTTTTGCCTCAGGTTTTCTACTAACTTCATGGTTTTCCGCAAATCCCTTAACTTTGAGCTCCTCTGTATAACAACATCAGCATCACAAGGGTGCTGCAGTTTTAGAATGAGATAACTGAGATGAAAGCACTTTGAAATGCTTGAAGTGCTATAGAAATACATATAATGACTAAATTCCGGAGGCTAGGATCTGAGAGAGCTAAGCTGCCCAGTATTATAAAAGGAAGCAGAAGAGTTTACAGGAAAGTTTATTACAGAAAAGCCCAGCCTTATTACAGATTTGTCTACATTTCTCTTCGATGCAATGAATGTAACAAATAGGTTATATATAGAAAAAAAAAAAAGAAAGAAAGAAGCAGAGGAGACAGCCTGGGACAGCTCAAATGCATTACTCATTGCTATTCAAGGAGTAAGTTAAAGGCCAACTACTGGGCCATAACACCTGCAGGGTGGCATTTATCTGTCAAAGTGCACAGGCACTTCCGGATTACCCTCACAGGCAATGACAACACGCCGAGTTCTGGCCATGGCCCGGTATCTGCAGTTGGGGGCCCTGGAACCTCCTGTCTCCTTGCAGTCTGTGACCTTCATTACACCCTCATGGCAGTTCATCTTGCCATTCTTGCACTGGATACTGGTAGTGCTGCAGATACTGCGAATGTTCCAGATGTCTTCATGGATGAAGGTGTTGAAAGACTTGCAGTGGTGCGTGGTCATCCTCCGTCTTTGCATCATTACGTTGCAGTAGCCATCATTGCCATCTGTCGTTGAAGGGTCCACATGTTGCCGCAGGAATCGCTGGTACATACGATCCTGGCCATAGGAGGGCTGCACCAGCCCCAGCCCCAGCAGGGTCAGCAGTAAGAGCAAAAGCAACGAAAGGGTCCTCTGGAGAGCCATCACTGCCTTGGAGGTGTCTAGAGAGAAACCAAGGGGCAGGAGAAAGAAAGGTAACAATTGGGCACCAGAGAGAGGTATTGAGAGTGACAAGCTGATATTTCCTCAACTCTATAGTCTCCTCATTTCTCCTTACTATATGTACCATCTCCTCACTCTTCTCTGCTCACAACTTCTTTCAACACTGCATCTCCAAGAGTAAACAGTTTGCAAACATGATTTTCTCTGAAAGCAAGAGTCTTTCTCTTTTATGTGCTGTAGTCAGTACAATGACTCAGGGTAGAGACTGACTGGGTGGCTGTCCAGGTGGATGCGGCCTTTATAGTCAGGGTGTGAAAAGGGACAAAAGGCAGATCTAAATGAAACGAGGGTTGTCTGTCTCTTGAGGGAATTCTCTAGTCATGTGATCTTTGGAGAGTGCTTGCTTCCCTGGAGACTGATTCCCCAAAGTTTGGGAATCAGGGTATGTCAAAGAAAATTTATGAACTGATTTTAACTCCTGACATGTGGGAATTGAGGAAGGTGCAAAAAAACGTATAGTGTAACGTTTAGGTTTAGCCTTTCCTCTCAATGTATCTATCCTTTAAAAAAATTTTTTTAAATTTTCAATTACATTTGACATATAATATTAGTTTCAGGTGTACAACTTAGTGATTAGACACTTATATACCTTACAAAGTGATCCCTTGATGAATCTAGTACCCATCTGACACCATACATAGTTATTACAACTTTATTGACTATATTCCTTATGCTTTAACTTTACATCCCTGTCACTATTTTTATAAATGGCAATTTGTACTTTTTTTGGCTGAGCCATCCTGCCACCTGTTGGCAGCTCAGTGGCAGCTCAGCTCAGGTGGGGAATCGATCCAGTGACCCTGTTGCTCAGAGCTCACACTCGTGAGCGAGCAATTTGTACTTCTTAATTCCTTCACCTTTTTCACCCATGTGGCTATTCCTCCTTCTAATGGTATTAAAATCAGATCCTTTTGGAAATCACGTTAATCCTATAAAAAACAAATTCAAAAACAGAATACCCAGACACAGTGCTCTGAAGGTAGTAAATATTGGTTGAATGAACTAATAAACAAAATGAGCAAGCTAATGAACAAATGAAATGATATGGGTATAGAGAATGAAGGTGTTTCTCAGGCTTGTGGAATTGACTGATAAGAAAAGCTATGAAACACTTAAAATATAAATCTAAACAGCACAATCTTCACAAAAGAGGACTAGGATGGTGTCTTTTTTTCCTTGCTGTTTCTATTCACAGCTAGGCGCTTGTGGTAAATTCTATTGTCATGCACCTATCCTTAACGCTCTATCTTGTCAATAGCTGTAGGTAGTTGTCGGTCTTCTCTAGTTGCAGTGTCATTTTGTTGGTACTTTTGGCAGTGGAAAATAAACGTTTTACACACTTAGAAAATAAAAAAACACAAATCTCCAAAACTACAACAAAGAAAGCAGTGCCATGTAGTTTTAGAACATTGCTTCTGTTGACTGAGTGAAGGAAGGAATCCAGACCTATCTGACCCTAAAATCTGTGCTCTTTCCACAAAATCCACTCCCTCTCTCATTTCACTCCCCAAATATTCAGGATATTAAAGACATTTATGTTCAGAGTTGCATCTCTCGAGCAACAGAGTTTAATCGGGTGGAACAGGGTGGGAGTAGAGGTGGGAATCACTCACCAACACTAATTAGCTAGACGCTGCCATCTGGCCATCACTCCTGGGATTGGCATGAACTCATGAACTGTGAATCTACGTGACCCTGGCAATGAGGCAGGGTTGACATACTAGAGCAAAGAAAAATCATTTCTGCTTCAACAGGATCTCAGCTTCCCAACATAGAAAGGACAATTTTTTGAGAGTCAGGCCCATTTTTACATCTGCAATCCCAGAGCTGACCCCAGCTGGCCTCTTGGTTTGATGTGTAGGGGTACTACTGACCTTTGTTTTCAAAGATGCTGCTTCATGATGGTAGACCACACTGTCTGAGTGACTGAAATGGCTGATAAAGGATCTGCATACCAGTATCAAACCTAACTTTATTTTTTAAAATCTATATCCTATATTTACAGCCACTTTTTGCTCATGCACAGAAACATAGAAAGCTCTATGTCACAATCTAGTCTGCAGCTGTAGATATGAGATATGGAATTAGGAAGAGACAGAGCAGATGGGTTGTGGGAAAGATAGCAGGGAGAAATGATGCTTGATTTACTTCTCACCCCAAGACCAATGGATATAACTTCTGAAGGTACACTTAACACTTGGGTAATAGCTTCATCATGACAATGTTCTTTGGGTTGTTTTCGCCAAGTCTAATCTTGCATGGTTAACCTTGCACCTCTCTATGTACTTTTTCTCATTCTGTTTCTTTGTGTCCAAGAACATGGTAAGATAACTAGCTACAAAGAAGACCTACACTATTCATGCGACAACAAACCCACAGCCTCAGACACACTAACCAACTTAACAAGACAGAAAAATATTTGCAAACAGAAGTCCAACGTAGACATCAAATGGGTGTATCTCAAGGTTCTGGCTACAACAGAAAATGAAATGATCCCCAAATCATCCCAACACATACTCTTTGGTCAGAGCTTGCCCCAAAGGCTTTCGCCACTGAACCACATTGATTCTCAACAAGAACTTCTTTTGATACTGTGATCCCAAAGCTCTGTCACACTAACTCTATGACCTTGGGGAAATTACTTAACCTCTCTCAGCATATTTCCTCATAAGTAAATGAGTATAATAATAATACCTATCTATTAGGGATGTTATGAAGAATAAATGATAAAATCAATGTTACATGTTTATCACAATGCCTAGCATATGGTAAGTGCTCAGTAAATGTTGGCAATTACCATTTTTATAATTTCCATTTTTCTTGATTTCCTTTGCTTCCTTCAATCTGGATAAAATAATGAATGACTACACTGAGTTGCATATATTATTGACCCCGTCCCCTTTATTTTGTAGAGTACCTCTATTCCCAAGCCCCCTTACCCTCCCCCCCCCCCCCAATTAGAAGGCTGTTTTTAAGCTGAACTATCTCAGCTACTAGAATTTATGCTCCTAGAGAAAAACGTCCTCTCCACATTGCTTGGAATTTTCTTCTTTGCACAACATCATTCTTCAAAGGACTTGATATTTTGAGGTTTTTCTTCTCTTTTTTTTTGCAAAGTTAACAAAGCACAGCTGACCAGGATTTCCATTCCTCAAATGATTCACTTGAGATAAAGATTGACTTGCCTGCCACTTGATATTTCATTCTGAACAGCTTTTGGTTGTGAGAGAACAAGAAACCCTGAGCAAAAATTACTAGGTTCAGCTACCCAACTGCTGACTCTATCAGCAGGTCAGGAAGCATCCCCATCAAATTGCCATGTCATTTCCTAGGAAAGGCATTTGCCCTAACACCAGAGCAGGGCATGCAATGATAATACTCTAAGCAGATGTTTGGAGAAGACGTGAGTTTTCAGTTATGGCACACGCAATATAATAATGGTCCATGCCTTTGACTTTCCCCATCAAAATCTTGAGTGGGGCAATGATCTGTATGGAAAGCATCTTGTCTTATAACAAGGAAACAGCATTGTTTGGAGAAACTGGGTCCAAATAACCTACCAAAAACTGGACCTTTTTAACTTCTTAAAGGGTTTTTGACATTTTACAATAAGGCAAATTTTCTAGTAAGAGAGGTTTGGAAAGCTCTTTTCCCTCCTTTCTTAGGAAATGACAGTGATTTCAATTTTGAACTAGATTAACTCAAGGTAGGGAGATTCATGTGGTGCGTGTGTACCAGTAACCTACTTCTCCATCCCTTCCTCTATAAATTTAAATACTTTCAGTGAGGCGGGCCTCTCCCAGGTGGCACCTAGACACTGATCTATAACTTGGGTGTTGAGGAATCAGGGCCTTTGTCCCATTTCAGGGCAATGCAGGCAGTAGGAGAGGCCACCATTGGGAATACTGTGACCACTGTAGTCATATATTCGTAAGACAGCAAAACTAATGATTTCTAACTGTAATTTATTAACAACTACTTTCTAAGCAAAATATCCAGGCACCTGTTGATAGAAATTAGGTAACAGGAAGTTGACAACTAAACCTGTGAATTGATTAGTATAGTTTACAAAGAGAGCGTCTGTTTACCTATGCTTGTGTTTACTTGAAAACAAATCTAGTCAAATAAGAATAAGGAATAAGCTTGGAATCTTGCTATGAATTCCCTAAGACCTTACAGTTGCCAGAGATCAGTTGATAAAGTAAAAAATTAAAGCGAAAACAATGTAATCAATTTTTTTATCTTTACATAAAGTAACCATGAGAATATACTGGGAGCATTCCATTCAAAGCAACATCAAAATTACCTCCTGCCTAAGACAAGAGGTGGCTGCCAGGAATGCGTTTTGGTATTCATGCAAGATTGTGTGTGTGTGTGTGTGTGTGTGTGTGTGTGTGTGTGTGTGTGTGTGAGAGAGAGAGAGAGAGAGAGAGAGAGGGAGAGGGGAAGTTTAATTAATCTGTTGGTATTTAGTCCCACACTCTTCTCCTCAAGATTTAACATTTGTAAAATATTGGCTTATACGACAGCAAAACCAATTGGCCCTCCTAAAATTTTTGCTTAGCAGCCACAAGCCCTGGAATTTTCCCAGCTCTCTCTGTAAGATGAATTGAACAGTCTTACCTCCACAGAAAGGTAAAGTCCATCTCCCTACTTACTAAGAAGCAATTGATAGGGAAAAAGGTATTTCTATTCCATCCAATCCTCTCAGGGTAGGATGAGTAGGTTGAGTAGAAAAAAATGGCTAAAATAGGCCAAGAATCACTGAGAAGATTTTGATTCTTACTGATTTCAGAGACATTTTTATTTATGAAACATATTATAAAACAGGAAGCAAAAGATACAGGTAACTCATTTTTCTGGGCCCCTGGCAACGACCGTTGCCACCACGGTTCTGGAATGGACAGGGAAATGCAAGGGAAGGAAAGCAGAGCCAACTCCGGGCCAGTGGCCTGCTGGTCATGGACGGTAAAAGGATTCATCAAAGTGGACAGGCAAGCCGTTTTCACAGGCAATAACAATGTCTCTGAACCCTGCTGTGGCTCTGTACCGGCACGGAGGCCGGGGGGACCCTCCTGCATGCTTGCAAGTGGTGACCCGGAAGGCAGACTTGCTTATTCTGAAAGCGTCCATGTAAGGCTTTCCATTCTTATCACCACAGATGGCCTTGATGTTGTTCTTGGTGCCATGAATAAAGGTGTTGGTGTCTTTGCAGGGTGTCGTCAGGCCTCGTCTTGCCATCATGATTTCACAGTATCTGCTACCCCGGCCACTTGGTTTGGCATCATAGTGCTGGGTCAGGAAGTGTTCGTACCTGGAGTCATTCTGAGCCAGGGTCGGTGGGGTCAGACCCAGACCCAGCATGAAGACCAACACCAGGGGACCCAGGCACATCATCATCTCTTCCAACAAAGACTCCTGCTAAGGGCAAAAGGAGGTGTGGTAGCGCAAATTAGACTAAAAGGACAGGGACTTTTCTCTCTGACAGGGCATCAGGTATCTTCAGTCACCTAATTATATCTCTCTTTTCTCTTCATCATTAATTTTGTAGTTCTTGTCAATCCATTCCTTTGGAAATTTGACCTAAGTTTCCTGAACACAACTTCCAGTCCCAACCATTTTTCCTGTCTCTTAAGGATCACTGAGTACTTATCTTTTTCTATCAGTTGTAGCCTTACAAAATCCATTCACGCTTTTTAATTCATTTAATTAATTAATTTAATAACAAACATTACATAAGACCCTACTGGGTACAAGGCACTGTGGTAGGTCCTGGAACACACGGACCGTTAAGACACACCAGACGGCTCCCTAAAAGAGAATGTGCATCCACGGGGATGGGAGCTCTAGTTCACTGAGATGAGACAGTAAGATATTAGATGAGAGCTATAAAGAAGAGGGACTTTTAGGGAACCCGGAGCCCAGGGAAGGGTCAATCAGAGGATTGTTGAAGACAGGATTCCAGGTACTGAAGTCAATAAGTCAGCTGGCTGTGAGGAGAGCAGCTGAGAGTAGTTTTACCCTGAGGTAAGGGAGACAGGCCTAATTCCCCAAGAAGTAGGTGGTTCATGGCCTAAAGTGGAATTATCATGTACTATGTAAAGAAAAAAAACAACAGAGAAAAGTATGGAAGAATCCATGTAATGCTTGGAAGTGGGTCTCGGGTCAACTTTTACAGAGGACTGGAGGAAGAGGAATTCAAGCTTATTCTTAGGAGCTTCTTGCATTGGAAAGAATATGAGTTATTCTCAGAGAATATTTTCTAGTTTCACCTGCAGATGTACGAAGACTGTTACACAACAGGCAAATGATGTTATCATGTGGAAAAACCAAAAACAAACAAAAAAACTTATTAGACCTTTTCATCAAATCAAAGGCCTTACAAATTGTTGTAATGATTTTTTAACACCTTCCTCAAAAGAAGAAGAAAAAAGAGAAGACGAGGATTGCTGTCATCATCGTCTCTCAAGTGCTATCAGCCTCAAACTGTAGAACTCACACATCCCGCAGGTGGTGAGTCACAGACACTCAAACACACCCATAAAGTAAATATGGTGCTTCTTCCTGGAGCATGATTTTAACTCAATGATAGATAATTAAAAAATAGAATGAAACAAGTATAAATTATAACAAAATAAAACACAGATTTCTTATGAACTTTTAAGATATTTCTTCAGAAATTTGAAGAGTTGGGAATTGAATAATAGTTGGTGTTTGCAGCACATATAATAGTTTCTAACTATACTTTTAGTTCGCTGGAGAAAAATTTTGAAAACATTCAGAGCCTTTCAAAACTATCTAGTCCTACCCCATTATATCAAATATATGTGAATGTCCCCACAACCAATAATAAAAATGACTTTTCGCTATAAACTTGAAACTGATTTTTATAATTTTGCTTTTCAAATTGTTTGTCTGTGAGTAACGCATTTACTTTGTGATTGGCTATGATTTCTTGGCAATCATTGCACATGCTGAGAAATTCTTAAATGGGAGAAAAATGTGACCTTCAAATTATTCTTAAATGTAATTCATATAAATCCTAAATTTAAAAACAAATGGTATATTTTCATAGACATTAATTATTAATTTTTATTTTGTGCTTTTCTTGTGTGTAAGTCAATCAACATTATTTTCATATTAAATTCTTTATAGCCCTTAAAGACACCACAGGTCCTAGCACTAAGCCTGTAGTGTAACTAAACAGCCCTGGGAGTATGACTGTGAATCTAGAAAGATAAGGGGATCCAGGGTTCTGATGGTTACATGAGAAGGCATGTGACAGAATGAGCAAGCGAGCTCTCTTTCTCATCAGCATTTGGCATTGATCCACCCTGTCTGTTTCATAATAACTATAGACAAAATTGGCAGACTGCTGAAGAATACCAAACTATACACTAAGAAAATTTTTGGCCATTCCACAATACTGAAATAAATAGAAGCTGAAAAAGTTGCCATTTAGCACATAGATTATAATTTGTAATAGAATCAAGTGAAAGCGTGGTCTTGGGAGTTTAGCAAGAAAGTGGTACATGATTGCAGAAGAGAGAGCCGCCCCTAAAAGAATAACAAGTATTCATACACGGCCACTGCTTCAACACAGCTGCTGGCCTGCCGTGCGGCCCATTTGCCAAACTTTTTACATTTACATTGTGCTTTTTAGTCTTCTGGATGTATTTTCTCTTGCTACTTTTTTGGAAGACCTCAACAAAGTTTAATTGATTTGGATTCAATTAGGTATCTTGCTCTGCAACGGATAAATGTTGCTTTCTAATGTGAAAGGCAAATGTAGAATCACAGGCTCCCAAGATCGAAAAGGAAGACCTCAGAGTCAATACCTCTCTGCTTGGGGCCAGAATCCCAGAGTTCAAAATCAAGAACAGTAGAACCAGAGCTGGTAGTACCCAAAAGAGTCACTAGGTGGCAGTGGTGAATAGAAATATTGCCAATGTCTTCCAGGCTGTAGAGGACACACCGGTACCATACAGGTTGTGGAGATATTGTTGTTCACAGAAAGTAGTCTGAGCTGCCAGGCCTCTCTAGAGACTCTGTTCAAACACTCTATGTTTTAGATATTAAGACCAAAGCCACCCCGCTAGAGACAAGTGTCAAAGCAAAAGTCACAAAGCTCTGGATCTGCCTACAAGAATAGAGCAAAATAGATACCTGTTATCAGTTTTCATGGGTACTATTTAAAAGTCTTTATCCATGAACTCTCAGACAATTACCTGTTTACTTGTCAGTGTTTCTCATTGGTGTAGAAGCAGAGCCCATATTATTCACTTTGGATCACAGTGCCTGCCTCATTANTCTCTCTCTCTCTCTCTCTCTATATATATATATATATATATATATATATATATATATATATATATATATATATATATATATATATATATATATATGTAATTTTCCTCTCCGGGCCTAAATTTGTTCATTTATAAAATGAGAGAGTTGCTAACTCTGAAGTCTGAAATTCCATGGTTCTCATTAAGCATAAGAGAATCATTTCTAGTTTCACTAGCAAAAGTAGAGTGACTATAGCATTACAGAGACGAGTTTGTATAAGTTTAGTTGGTGGCGCAGGGCACCAGGTGGAAGAAAAAGATGACAGGGCGACCTGTGGCCCAGTCTCACTGAGATGCGTGATTTCTTAAGGCTCAGCATGTAAGCCAAGCCCATAGACCACCGCTAGTTAAAGCACCGGACTGACTCTACACAGGGGCTTCACATCCTACAAAGCCACTTGCTAGTTGGAAGTTGAAGACCTCACATCCCAGTCTGGAGAGGTAAAGAATTTTTGGTTCTAATTTGTAAAATTTGCACATTCCTTCTGTAACAACTCAGCTAAATTATGCTCAGGCTTATTATAATCTTGATTCCCTAAGTCATGTAGAAACCAAATCTCAGCCAGAACACACCACAGCTACCAGTATCTAACATCTGCTCCCCTACTTACATCTTTACTCATATATTGAATTCTAAATTTTAAAAAAAGGTACAATGGAATTGGGAGAAAACAAGCATGACACAGATTATTTGCAGTGCGGGAGCAAATCTGCCTAGGCCAAGTGTGCACAGCCTCACATCTGGTGGTCAAACTCATTCACACATATTCTCCCATACCCAAGCACATAACTGTCAGTCAGCTTTTTGTCAGTGTAATTTGTCCAAACTGTTCTTTACATGAACTTTATCCTCTATCTCAAACCAAGCCATTAGTCTTCACGAGAATTAATATTCTCTTTCTCTGTCCATTGGCAATGTGTTATACTCAAGTGATCCATCCAACTTTACACACCAGGGAGCTAACTTGACAGTCTGTGATGAATAACTGTGGTTATAATTTCCATAAACATAGCTTCACACTTTTATATATTCTAGGGCAATGTCCCCCAAAGTGAAAGCATAACACCCTTTATCTCCTTTCCTTCTTTCTTCCCTTCAATCTGCCAGTGTACCTTCTTTTGATCTTGGGATGTGTTCCACTTTGCTTTCACAGAGCAATCAAAACTATTTTAAGGAAAAAAATTACTAGGGAGGGTTACAAGAAAACAGAGCTAAAAGCATGCTTTCTGTTTCTTTCCTTGTTCTGTCACATATAATGCCTGTGCTCAGGCGGGCTTCAGATGCCCTTCGGCAAATGGCTTCCCCAGGTCTTTGGGGATTTTATCACAGTTCAGAATCCCTCTGAAACCTCCACTCGCTCCCGGTATCATTAATTTCCCTTTATCCCCATATTGGCTAGCCCAAAATAAATCTGTTTTCATTTTAAACTTTAGAATCTGATTCATTTTCTCCTTAATTCATGAGCTTGGGCCCAGAGGCTTAAAAAAGGGGGTAAATGGTTTCATTGAAATGGATAGATGTCTAGAAATAGTGTATACACACACACACACACACACACACACACACACACACACACACACACATATAAACAAATAGAACAATAGATTACCCAGGGGTGAGAATAATCTTACAAAAATCTGGAAATTTCCCTCCAACTGAAGATGGCTTCCAGCTGTTTGTTCCTGGAGATGGGTTCCAGCTGTGTGAACCTAGAGAACCCCTCTGGTTCTGATTATATAGTGATCAGATCAACTGGGTGGGGAGACTAGTTCCAAAGATCCTCAATCCTAGCAGAGATAGGACACTTCTCTTGGACAAACAAGGAGTCATTCACCTTTTCCCTGGGCATGACCAGGTCGAATATTCACCCACGGGAATGGATTAGAGATTTGTTCTGGAAGGCCAAGTTTGATATTGATAAACATGGCTTTGTCCCAAAGCTGCCCTTTTTCTGATGGGCGTGGTTCTTACTCTTGCCCATGACAAGATTGAGGTTTCATTGTTCACATGTAATGATCTGGATCCAGAAGATGTTACTGATCTCTGGGCCAACTCCAAGAAATGCCTTGGACGAAGCCCGCAGAGCAAATAGGGTCTCCTAGCAGGATGTCGTTCCACTGTACTTTGTGTTTACTCACATCACTTGGTTTCATGAAAGGATGCCATGCCAATAAGTAGGTTATTCCACAGATTTCACAGAACCAAGAAAGCACTTCTAGAGGTTATGTGACAGCTACTTGTACCCTGCCCCTGACCTCAACTTCTCAGCTACTAACCCTCTGAAATATTCTTGCCATATTTCCTGGGTTTCTCCTTCCTTTCATCCTTAGCTGTCCACTGGAGACTAACCCTGAGCACCCAATCTTCTGTTGCTTGTAGCTCAGTTGCTAAACTATTTTCTTCACCATCATTGCAACACTGATAACCATCACTCCTTTGATGGTTAATTGATCTCTGTGTCTCCCCATTAGATAGAATGCTTTGAGAGAAAAATAATTGTATTGTTCATCTCTACAATCTTAGTTTCTAAAACAATGACTGACTTTTAGGCCCCAAGTTCTTTTTGTTACCCTCCTGGCCTAGGAATGCACCCTCTGATCTCACTTTGGAGACTCCAACCACGCAAACTCTCCTGGCTTCTCTTAAGGATCACAACACAATTGGATTTGGTAGTGGTTACCAAACAAAGCAGGACTGATTCCCAGGTGGAACAGGAAGGCTTCCAAGGGTCCCAGGAAAGCTCTGCTTTCCTGAAAGCCCACTGATTTGTTTTCATTTTTGAGGTACTGGTCTCCGTCCCAAGGCTAAAATTCCTAGGAGAGATTAACTCTTTGAACAGCTGTCAGTGAGTTACACACCCTTGGGCATATGCTCTACATCTTATCTTAAGAACAGCTTTTGGTAACTGGAAGGGCCTGAGAATTTAAGGAGGAAGAAAAGTGGGCGGCATGAAGAATCTGAAAAAGCACAAACTTCACCTGCTTTTCAGTTGTGTTGGGACACAGTCCTGCTTGAGCTTCATGATTTGCCCCTGTCCTCTCCTCTCTTCCCTGCATCCCCAACCAAATCCTGAGCTAAAAGGGAAAAAGCTGGAGGCGGTGAGAAGAGTACCAAACAAAGTGCCACAAATTGCCTTTTTCTCAGTATCTGGTGCCTCAGGGTTACGGAAGTCTCTGGAAGGGAAGAGACAGGCATGTCTCTGATCATTTGTTCTGCCAAACATCAAAGTTCAAAGTCTTTTAGGAGCAAAGAGAAGTAACAGGACATGGGGGCCATAGAGTGGGGCCTGCACTGGCATCTAGTGGAGTGCCCAAATGCTCATTTTCCTTTTATGGGCAGATAAACTATTTGAGAGTGGTGCCTATTTTAAATTAATCACATATCACATTTTAAAGAGACACTGAAGAAGTGAGTCCTAAAAAGCTATCAACCAGTCATTTGTTAGGGAAGACAGCTGCCAGTCCATTGCAACACCCTGCGATTGCCTCAGCAGTCCCAGAAGACGGAAAAGGCAGTCAACTCCCACAGCCTGTGCGGATCAAGATGACCTGATCAACACGACCCTTCTCTGATAAATGATCTAGAAGCAGAGATAAAGTACACTACTCCAACACACACACACACACACACACACACACACACACACACCCCACACACACACACAGTCCCATGGCCTGAAATGCTAGTTCAAGCACCAACTCACACAATCAAATCAGTCTCAGATTTTAGAGTTATGCAGTGATGCTGAGTAGCAGCCTCCAGCCTCTGAACACAGCCACATCCCTTCTCTGCCTCTAGGATCTCACTGGACAACATCAGGAGAATTCACAACCTGCCTACATAGTTGGCAATGCAAAAAGTCAGGTGAATGGGGAATGGTTGCTTTCATTCTAGTTGTTTTTATTCTCAGCTTGGCACAATGAAATTATGATGAAACAGAAAATAAAGTTTTGGGGGGGAAAATGTTTTGTGATTTCATTAAAATGCATCTAAGCGCTGACTCCTTTGTATTTCAAAATACAAAGAATTATAGTCTATGATTAATGAACATTACATCTTTGTCAGTAACTTTAATAGGTGTGAAGCAATTGCCAACTGAAAAATATACTCATATATTTTTTACATGTTCTGACAGCTTGAACTTGGAAGTTAGTCCCCTTCTTCTGAAATGTTTTTCTATGTCTCTTCTTCAAGCCAATAGTTTCCCTGCACACAGACACAGGAAGCATGGGTTTTCCTTCTAAGGACTCTGGTGCTGGTGTACTTTCCCCCTTTATACAGAGTACATATGTTTACTTCTGTCCTAAAGACTAATTGTGAAATTAGGTAGTGGAGGGAAAGGGTTAGTTTTTTCAATTCCTTTGCAATTCTTACATATTTTAGGTCTATAAGCATGAAACTTATTTAGCAACAGGATGGTTAAAAGAGGATGAAGCTCACATGATGAGAAGGGTCATGCCTCTACCCCCAGGAAGGGGAAACACTGTTGACAGAGGGAGAATGAAGACAAAGTCCTGCTGACATGGCTCTATTTCCAAACAAACCAAAATTAATCATTCACTTTTCAACATACTCTGGGCTTTGTGCCCATTTTCTCTTTCCTAACTATATCAAGATGTTCTGAGAATAACTGTTTACAGAGATTGTTCTTTGCTCACATGCAGTATAATGAAAACTCCTAAAGAAGGGTTTTGCTGGCCTGCTTTGGTCCACTTTCTTAGCCATCTACTTTAATTTATGAATCACATTGGTAAATGCTTCCAACAATAATTTGAGAAGCCTCTTACCTTTACCTGCTTATAACCTGGCATCTGCACTTTCGAGAATATCCAGAGCCATTCCTCTTTTCCTGGAATGGTTTTCCCCATCCTCTCTGCCAAATGATAGTTTTCCTCCTCATTACTAGAGTACCATTTTTTAAAAAAATAAGAATCCTATTACAATACCCCATACAGTCACAGAATAAGAAAAAGAGGGGCCTCAGAGGCCAACTGATAACTCCTCATTTTATAGATGTGGAAAGTGAGGAACAGAGAAAGAGAACGTGTATTGCTCAAGGAACATCTAGCTCTCCTGGGGCTAGAAACTTTCCAATGCACCACATAGCTTTCGTATTCTATACTAGTAATTCTAGAAAATCAAAGCTAATTTTAAAAGTGCTCATGGAAGTTGCTCTTTAAGAGAAAATTACTTTGAATATTCCATAAATTCCAAAAATATTTTTACTCCGCCTTTATCTATATATATAAAAAGTTGCTTGAAATAAAGTGTCTGTAACAAAATTAATTGTCCTCTGCACTAACTATTGTAATAGTTAGTAGCTGTGTAGTTAAATAGCTCTTTGAATACCTGAGGCTGCTTCTAAGAAGTTGGCCATGTGCTATTCAGATAATTGTATCACTTGGATTTCTGGTGATTACATTTATGACTTGATTATAAGGTTCTTAATTACACAGGGCAGGGAGGCGCGGGGGGTCTTGGCTCATTTTAGATTTCCCTAGTCCCTAAAATGGTGCTGAAACTGTTTTTACTGTCCTTCCTAAATAAAGATGTCCTGTTATGCCCATGTGCTGTTATCATTTGATGCGTTGTCGCAGAGTAAGAAAGCTGAGGATCCCAGTGTTCCACTAAGAAAGCTTCAAGAAGAGGCTGTTGGCAGTATCCACAAAAACTTCACACACTGGCTGAGGGTGGGTTAAGAGTGAGAAGACAGAAGTGAGCAGACAGGAAACGAAAATACCCGTCCCCAAATGTCAGTTCTGCTTGCAAAAACTGGACAAGGCCTGCTTCATAAATCTGCCCATCAATCTGGGTACCCAGCAAAGAATCCTTAGCTTGAGCAACTGCAGGTCTTCCCAGGCCTTCCTGGGCTTCGCCTAAGCGGTGATTCTCTTGAAGCCTACGTTGTAGGCAATGGGCATTGGTGCTGCCATCTCTGCCCAGCTACAGAAAGTAAAATGGGTTGGGAATGTAGAATAGCTAACTCTACAAGTACTGCATTTTTATCTTCCTTCCCATTTTTCAGATCCTCCAGTCCGGTCCCAAAAACTTCTCTCGGAGGAGCGCCCCACAATTGCCTCTGCTAAGGAGGGAATCCCCCGGTCAGAACACCCCGGGTAAAAGCTACAGACGAGGAGGAGGAGCAGAAATGTGAGCCCACCCGAGCCTAAGGAACGAAGCTGCAGAAACGCGCAGGACAGTGGAAAGAGTTTTTGTTTCTCACCCGCTTCTTCTCCTTTGTATGATGACGGGGAGCTGGTAGAAAATGCAAAGATGTTGTTTTGACTCCTGCTTTGGTTCTGCGTCGGGTGAGTGTGAGAGTGCGTGCGTACAGGGACGAGGTGCGGGCGCAGCGAGGGTCGGGTCGGCGGGCGAGGTCCTGGGTAGTTGGGACCGCACCCTGTTTCTCGGAGGAGGCCCCTAGCGCCTGAACCCGCCTCCGGAGCAGCTCCACAGCAGCCCCCGCCCCGGACACAGCAGGGCGGGTCCCTGCCTGTGGTCTGGCTCACGTTGGGCTGTTCCAAACTGGAGAGAGTCTGTAGATGAGTACGAGACCCAGCGGCCTCGAAGATGCGGGCTGCCGGGACAGTGGACAGCGGGACAACCGCTCTGGAGCCAGGCACGACACGGGTCTCTGCTCCCAGGAGCTTTAAGGTCCCTGAAGTCCAGGAAGCCAGGCAATTTCGTCCCTCCCAGGCCATCAGCTCCATCTGCCCTGCGTTTGTTCAGTGTACCTCTTTTGCCAAACAGTTCGGAACGCGAGAAAGTTTGCACGGAACTTTTGGGAAGGTTCTCAAGGGGAGGGGGAAAAGAAAAAATAGTGGAGGGAGCTTGGGCTCGTCCGGGATTTGAACCCGGGACCTCTCGCACCCAAAGCGAGAATCATACCCCTAGACCAACGAGCCACGACAAGTATATACTCCCCACTGTTGCCCTGGATTTCATTTTCCGGTCAGCAATTGGCCGCCAGGCTACTCTGGAATTTTGTCTTCTGTTGTGATCATTATTTTTTTTGACTTGCCTAGTTTTCCCTTCCCTCTTCATGAAGTCTCACGCCTGACTCTAGCCCTAGCCTCGCTTATCCTTGCTGATTTACGTCCTGGACCCTTCCAGACGCTAGATGGGGTGAGGAGAGGCAGCTTTTCAGACTTCAGCCGGCTTTTCTGAGTTCCACCGCCCCCGCCCCGAATGGGTGTAGCCGCGAGCTCCAGTCTTGAGGGAACCGGATTGGAGCCCGAGGGCACGCGCGGGGTTCGGTTGCGACACTGTAGGGTCCTGAGCCCCTGGACAGACGAACAGAAAGTGGATCTGTCGCATGCTACTACTTCGTGCGAGCGTAAGATCCGAGGGCAGGACTGGTGGGCATCAAAATACGGGGAACCGGAGACGGTTGGAGGTGAACCAGTCTGGCGCGTGTTGGGCTATTCCAGAGCCCTCGCAGTTTTTCTGAATGAGAGTCAAGTTTTCCATCTCTCCACATTTGCTTAAATTGTTTGCTGCGTCTGGAATTCTCTCCCCAATCTCATCTCAATTCACGTCAGATCCTGTACCTCCTTCCTGATTCGGCTCGACATCTTTTCATGCAACTATTAAAATATATAAACAGCTAAATACATTTTTTAGACCTCTTTTTGCATGGATGTGTGTACAGAGTGGGTCAGACACTCGGGCTCAAGGTCACAGTTAGGGGGTTTGTTCCACAAATTAGTCCCGAAGGCCGCAGAGCACACACGAGTACGTATATTTATAGTCTATTGTGTAATAGGCCAACGAATGGTCTTGGGTCTCCGACCTTTATTTGAACCTCAGGCAGCTGGGTTGCCAATCAGAAGCCAAAACAAATGACATCTTAGAGAAGGAATCAAAACTTTGCCAGTTGGTTGGGAGAACTGTTGCACGCTTTAACAACCATGACTGACGGGGTCAACTTTTCATGACGTGATGTAAGGTCTGAAGAAGACAGAGAATGGAACAAACCGAATGCAACGGCTAGTCCAAAACATTAGCCCCTCCTTCGAGCCGGAATCGAACCAGCGACCTAAGGATAACTAGACAGGAACGTGCTACAGTCCTCCGCTCTACCAGCTGAGCTATCGAAGGGTGAACTGACTCATGCTCTGTGGAATCTCCTATTCAGGATATCGATAAACAGAGGTGGGTAGGAGATAATCCTAGTGGTTGCCAAGTGCGCATAGTAAAGTAACTATCTTGTGAGAACGTCCTGCATTCGCAGTTCATTTGCAGTTCTGGGGACGACCCTTCTAGAGTTGGATTCTCTTGCTTCACCGAGGGGCTTCCAAGCAGGGCCAACACGTGGGTTCTTCACAGGCGCCCCTTGAGCCCGTGGATCCCGAGGCCGCCCGCGGAGAGCGGGGCGAGTCTGTTCGCCCCGCGGGCTGTTGTCTTCACGTAGCGCGCGGACCCAGGGCCTTCCTGGCATGATGTGAGTCTAGAGTGGGAGCGGCTTACCCAGGCATCAGAGAACTGGGGGCTGGGGCGGCGGGACACACAATTTTGACCGCGCAACTCAGAGCCAGGGAGAGGGGCGCGGGCCTCGGGGCTCGAGTCCGGGCCTCCCCTCCTTTCCTCACTTCCTGCGCTCGCCTCCGAACCCAGCCAGCGGCAGCTCCCTTCCGCTCACACGTCTGCAGACGCTGGGACGGAGAGGATGTGGAATAGAGTCCACGCCGGTAAGCCCAGTGTTTCTGTGAGAACTGACTTTTGGTGAAAATATTTTTATGGTTTTCCAAACAGGACGCCACAGTTTCTTTGAGTCAATAACAAATTTAGTGACCCAACCTGAATGTTCTCCGTTGAGATCCTGAATCGTTCGAAAACCCACAGAAACATGAAACCTTGCCAGACTGACTGCCCACGTTCTCCCGGAAAGCTGACGCCGGCAGGAGGACCTCGTTGTGGGCTGCAAGGCTGCCCAGAGCGGGTGTTGAGGGCTCGATCCCATTCTCTTTCCCCACCGTCCTCATCCCGGCTCGGGTTCCGGCCGCCCTTCCGGCTGTAGCCGCGCGCGGGTCCGCACAGGCCCGCAGCGATTCCCTGAGCCTGTAATGCACTCCTTTACAGCCCAGGCAGCAACGCACCACTTGCACGCAGGCACAGGAACAACAGAGGAAGGGGCTCTGGAGGGCGGAGAGAAGATATAAAGAGCGGAATTTCCACAGGGATCAAGGTTACCGGAGGGAGGAAGGTGGGGAGTGAGAAAAATATTAAAGTAATAAGGGAGAGTGTCAAGGCCCCAGCGAGATTTGAACTCGCGACCCCTGGTTTACAAGACCAGTGCTCTAACCCCTGAGCTATAGGGCCTCACAGGCGGCAGTGTTAGCTCGTTCTTGAAAAGGAAGACTTTTATGCTGGGTTTTCATTAGTGTATCTGAGTGTTGGAAACCGGCAAAACCTGGATGTCGTTTCAATCTGTTTCCCAATAACTGAAATTCAGTCTTGCAGGTTCTTGCAGGGATCGCGCAATATTGAGGCCAATGACAGGACCGCCACTATTTTAAAACTAAGGAAATCTGCCCAACCCAACACAGTCTAACACAGTGAAAGACCTTTTTTTTTTCCCCCCCTCCCAGCAGCTGTTTGTGAAAATTAAGGGAAAGAGAAAGTTGCCTACCACAGGTCTCTGCCTTAAATTCCTTAGACAGAGGGACCTTTCTCACAGCTGAGTCTCAGCGCCAGAACAGGCATTCATTAATTCGCTATTTAATTAACCCCTGTATTTAACAGACACTGAATTCTAATTCTGTGCTAGGCTCTGAAATAGGAGCAAGGCATCCAGATATGGTCTTTATCTTGAAGTCACTGTCATGGTTTTGCGGAATAAAAGAACTTTAGTTTTCATGAAAGAGAACAAAAATAGCTGTGCCAGTGCAAGGGGGTTGTGGACAGTGCCAAGATTTACAAACTTATGGAGTGAGCCATCATAGACACAGGCCTTCAGGAGGGGATGGGCTTGAGCAGCACCTTGGAGGGAGATTAAAACTTAGACAAGTTTGAAGGCAGTGTGATCTCTGGAAGCAGAAAAGTTATGAGCAAAGTTAGAGAGAGACTGAAGCATATAAGAGGCCAAGGCAGAGAACCTTGGCTGGGGCAGATGACTGCCCTCCTGAGAGTGAGAGAAGGTAAGAAGACAGGTTAGTAGGAGAGAGAGAGATTTCTGGAATGAAGTTACATCGTTTTAAAAACTGAAAATGGAAACTCACCAAGCATAGATATACAGAATGAATTGAAGGGAAGGGAGACTAGAGTCAAGGGAACACCAGAGATTGGCCATGGTGCAAATGCTCAAACACAAAGCTGCAAGAGGGCAACAGTTATGGGCTGGAAAGGAAAAAAATGAATGGAGGAGATACAGGGAAGACAGATTCTGCTGAAATTAGATATGAATTAAGAGGAAATAAGAGACAATAAAGAGGAAAGAGTCAGGGATGACTCTCAAATACCATACCTCGAAGAAACAAGAAGATAGTTTCATTCATATATGACATTCTGGACAAAGGAAAAACTATGGACAAAGTAAAAAATCCGTGTTTGCCAGGGACTAGGGGGAGAGACGAATGATGTGCAAAACACAGGAGTTTATTTTAGAGCAGTGAAACTATTCCATTTGATACAGTGGATATATGTCATTATACATTTGTGAAAAACCATAGAATATGCAACACCAAGAGTGAACTTTAATATAAATTATGGTTTAGGGGGTGATAATAATGTGTCAATGTTTGTTCATCGATTGTAGCAAATTCTGGTGTGGGGTGTTGATGGTGGAGGAGGCTGGGGGTGGGGGCAGGAGGTATATGGGAATTCTGTACTTTCTCCTCAATTTTGCTCTGAACCTAAAACTGCTCTAAAAAATAAATTCTATTTAAAAACCCCACAATATTCTTGAATTTCTAATTTCTATGTACCTAATAATATAACTTCAAGATATAAAAAGCAAAAGTTGACAGAACTAAAAGGAGAAATAAAAAAATACACAATCACAAAAGAAACCAAAAAAAGAAAAAGAAAAGAAAAATACACAATCATCACTGGATATTTGAACAATCTTCTCTCTTAGTAAGTGATAAACAAGTAGTCAAAAATTCAGTAAAGACATCGAAGATTGGACCAACACAGTAACCAATATCTGGAATTAAGTGGTAATTGGACAGATTTCTAAAAAAAGAAATTTTGCATAAAGTTTACTATGTATCCTTTGATAGCTCGGTTGATAGAGTGGAGGACAGGAAGATGTATATCCTGGTAGATGTCATTAGGTCTCCCATTAAGGCTTAAAGGAGAATACAGGTATCTTGCATACTATGGTCAAGGGTGCAGACTCCACTTTGTCTAAGTCCATAAAATAGACATGGTAAGAAATACACGTGGATTTAGAAGATCAAATGAGATAGGCTGTAGATATAAACTGTGTTTATAATTTGTTTGGTTTCTCTGAATACTGAGCACAGTTGTTGCAGGATCTATGCCCCCAGAGTCATACAGAGGTCTATAGGAAGTCTCTGAACTTGGGAGACAAAGTATTCTACTTTTGAGAGTCAAACAAGAAAAAAGCCAAAAAGTAGTGGATGAGATTCCCTATTCTTGGACTAACATCTTGCAGGTGCATTGTTCCTGGACTTCAGACTTCCCAGGGTTCAAGTCTCAAGTTCTTTCACAGATGAGAAATATCCCTGGCAGTGAGTTTCCCTGTGACCTCAGGTAGTTATTTTGGACATGTGCAGAGCTTTCCATGTGGACCAGGAAAGGGTGAGGCTGCAAAAGTATTTCTCCTAGTGTCTCCTGAATAGTCATTTGTCATTATGTCATCCCAACATGGCCAGAGACCTCAGAAGGTAGCACCATTTGATTCCATTTTTATGTAGTTCACTTGAGACCTCTAGTGTTTCTAGAACTGGCATCCTTGGATGGACTGTCTATCCATGTCCTATGGGTGGTAAAATAGCCACTACAGCTCCCCAGTATTGGAAGGCCCATTTCTCAGTCCTTAACAGTAGGCTTCACTATTTTGCCAGCTGTTCCCTCTCATTTATAAATGAGGCCTCTCATTTATTCCTACTGCTCACATTGAGCACACATCTCTTCCTCAGACACTACTCTCAAGAGGTCTGTAGGTCTTTGACTCCTTCAGTTCTCCTTCCTCACTTCTATCAGAATTCCAAAATACAAACCTGATCTCTACTGCAGTGGTTCTCAAAGCATGGTCCCCTGATCAGTTGCACCAGCATCACCTAGCTACCTACTAGAAATGAAAATTTTCAGTCACCAGGTTTACTAAATCAGAAATTCCAGGAGTTGACTCCAGCAATCTGTTTTTTTAACAAGCCCTGTAGATGATTGTGATGCATGCTAGCTTGAGAACCACTGCTCTACTGCTTAAAACTTGGCACCTCCCTCTCCAGTAATCTCTCTCCATACCAGAAGGGAGCTCCAGCCCCAATATGCTTACACCTATACCTTTGAAAATGCATTTTGGTTCTTTTTCAGAGATCCCACAGAGGATCTCAGAGTTAGTAATCTTCCTTCCACGCCTGCTCCCTTCACTTTTGTGTTGAAACTTATGGGATTTCAGGAAGAGACCTGTGTCCAATTCCCCCCTTTTAAAGGACACCAGTCATATTGGATTAGGGCCTACACTAAGTACCTCATTTTAAATTAAGTTGATTGCCTCTGTAAAGACCCTATTTCCAAATAAGGTCACATTTTGAGGTACTGGGAATTAGAACTTCTATATATCTTTTTTGGGGAACACATTCCATCCATAACAAAGACCATGGAATTTTATGGGAGGCTCTTCTGAATATACCTTTTATGTGTCCTGAAAACCTCCAGTATCATCATGGGATTAATTTTCCCTTCTCTTGGGAAGCATAAATGAGTAAGAGATGATGACTATTGTCTATTTTTAAGAAGTTAAGCCAGGTCTGGGGGCTTCTTCCCTGATATAGACTGTATATTTGCAAGAGAGAGTGAAACATAGAACATGAACACATACACATCCCTGTTTAAAGCCTCTTTGTGGAAATTTGCCCCCAAATATTATTAATTTTATCAAATGAAGGACGTAATTGGATGTCACCAGGGAGCCACAATTTCTGCCCTTGGAAGGCAGAAAACTGGCCCAAACATCAGCCAGACTTGCTGAGATAGTCACCTATTTTTCTCCGCAAGTCTAGGCAATAGTTGTGAATTAAATCCTCTGCTACTGCCACACACTAGCAAAAGAGAAACATTTCAACATATTGGCTTTCTGTAATTTCCACTTCGTTGTAATCAAAAGGAGCAAGAGATCCTTTTCACATCGAGACCGTGGAAATTCGAGTTTGGTGGACCCTAAGACAGAAGCTCTAACGTTTGAGGTGTGGCTACTCTTCCCTGTGTCAAGAGGAGTGGGAGTGGGAATCTATTTTTCTCGCCTGTTCTGGCCCTGCTTCCACGCTCCTGACCCGAGACCTGAAGGCTTGGGCAGCAGGAGAGGATGAGGAGCGGAAGCACACTGAGTTCTCAGGAATTAGAGCACCAGCCTGTGCTCAGACTCTAGGCTCTGTACCTAAGGAAGGGGACAGGGGGGAGGGGGCAGGGGAGGTCCCCATCATCTCCTTACCCGTTCGCTAGTGACAACAGCCGTCACGTGGCGGACCGCACGCCTAAGACAGCGCAGGGGAAAGGGGCCTCAGAGATCTGTGTTCCAAGGGAAGGTACCGATCCAACTTGAAAGGGACGCAGGATTCGGGGAGGAAGACAGCGGGCTCCGCTCGGTCCTAGAAGGAGCCGGCTTGGTGTAGCGCCGACTACCTGCTCGCTGGGTCTCAGGGAGCAAAAGGCAACTAGGAGACAAGAGTTTTTCTTGGTTCTTTAACGCACAGCCTACGCCTTCAAGAGATGCGAAGACTCACCTCCCGGTTTCAGAACCGAAAAGTATCAAACTCAAAAATTAGCAAAGAACTGAAGTCGAGGCGCGAGGTGGAGCCAGGGACAGACAGCTTTGTTGTTCTCAGTTGCACACCACCGTCATGAGCCCTACCCCCAGGCAATCTGGAGCCTAAATCAGAGAGTTCACTGGTCCGCTCCACAAATAAATAAACCGTGGGGCGCTTACTGGGCGCCTGGCCGATGCTGACGTGACCCCGTGCCTTTTGGAAGATGTTACGGTCTAGATCCCAAGAAATTTGCTTCCGGAGCTGCCAGTTTGTTTTGAAGATCTTTCCTGGAGTGAGAAGAGCTGTTCAGGGTGGGAGCAAACAGGTTCGAATCCAAGGGCAGCGGAAGAGAGAGACAATAATTTACTTAGCGTCCTTCGTTGATATTTAGACTCAGGGTTTAGAGTTGGGAGTATAGAAAACGCTGAAAGTTTCGGGCAAAATGATATAATTAGTAATTATGGAGAGAAACACTTTATATCCTTGGTAGTGTGGCCGAGCGGTCTAAGGCGCTGGATTTAGGCTCCAGTCTCTTCGGAGGCGTGGGTTCGAATCCCACCGCTGCCAGTGTCTTTTTAACTAGGAAATAGCTGCTGATGTTCTCCTTCCGGTTAAACGTTCTGTAATTCCACGCAGGGGGTCCCCTAGTATCTGACCTTTTTGAACATTGAGCTCTGGACTGGGGGGATGAGACCAGTGAATGAATGATTCACACATAGCTTCCCCCAAGGGAGCTCACGGGTCAGTCTGATACGCAGACCACCTTCCGATCCACGTGCTGTTTGGAAGGGATCCCATAAGGTCTTGCCAAAGGGATGACATTTAAGCTGGGGCGTTCAAGTCGTGAGAGGAGAGGTAAAGAATCTTAGAACCTTGAAAGTACAGGGTGTGTCCTGTAAAGCGGGGCACGGAAGTGAGCAAGGAGTGAAGTGAGCCTTCCCAAGTAATCACTCGGAATACTTTCCTAAGTATTCACTCGGAAAAAATCGGGCAGCCCCACACAGAGCCGAAGAGAAAGCATTTAGGCGGTTGCACACAGCACCGAAGTGTCCGTGTGGTTCCTGTTGCTGTCTTTCAGCACCCTACTGTGTTTCCCACAGGATGTTCTCTTATTTCTCCACCTGCCGCTGGTCTCCCCACTACTAGGGCAACCCCCTCTGTCACTCACCTTTCATCTCTCTCTCCAAGGACCACCGTTTGGACAGTGAAGGAGATACTTAATCAGGAATTGAATTATCAAGGGAGGAGGGGGCAGGACGGGGGGT